ACGCACGCACGCACGCACGCAGGCAGACAGATCTGTTGAGTTGGCTGTAACGATTCTTGATAATTGTTTGGAGGCCTCGAAGGTCCTGCCACACTTTCAGAACTACACAAGCTTGAGCACCAAGCCTGTGATCAACGCATGGCGGGGTGGCGGGCGGTGGTTTTCCTGGCAGTTCTTGGTGGATGAAGTTCGTGGAGAGTCCATGGCCCCCCAGCTGAAGCCATGTACACGAAAGGTCAGGGGCACGGAGCGGCAGGAGTTTGTTGGCTTCAGCCTCCGCACCGAGGTCTTCTCCGCTCATCGTGGTGGAAATCAAGGTGGAGAGGGAGTGAAAACTGGAGGACAATGGTGGATCGAGAACGTGCTGGAGGACTTGGTCTCTGACTCTGATGTCTCTGTCTCTATCTGCTATCTGTCTTGTCCCTTTCATTTCATACTAATTAAGTGGGCCAGTTGGGCTCCACAGGAGTGCGATGCTCCCAACGAGTTCTTCTATGACCATGAAAGCCGGATGCTCTACTTCTCCTTCAACGGCACAAACACGGAGCCTGACGGCAGCGAGCAGTGGGTCCTGCCCGTCACGCAAGTACTTCTCAATATCACCAGCTCTGACAGCAGTCTACGCTGCCAGACAGCAACGGTTCACTTGCAGTCCGAGAACTGGACCAACCCTGCGAGCATAGTTTGAGTTGCTTGATTATGATCACACGACCTGTTCGTACTCAAGCAAGGCGGTGTCGAAGTTCGGGATTCCATGCTGACCTACCTGGAACCTCACGGCCTGCCATCAGGCAAGGTGTTGGGTTTAGGCCATGTCGTGAACGTTCAGGACGTAGAGAGGAGAGCATGATGAGCATGAAGCAGAGTTGAGCCGAAACCGGGACGCCGGGTAAAACGTCGTGTGTTTCTGGATGAGACGTCGCCAAGGGGGCGACTGGGCCTTGGAGCGCCTGGCCGCCATCGTCATCCGCGACGCATCGAACGTGACGGTGGTGGACAGTTTGCTCACCAAGTTGGATGGGCCCTTTGGGCTTGGAAGCGGGGAATTCAAGTTACGCAGGCCGTAGACTCTAGAGGATGAGACGTCTAAGGAACGGTATCTTCCTCGATGGTGCCGTGAAAAATGCGAGCTTGACGGGCAACGAGTTTTCTTATATCGGAAGTTCAGCTATGGCTGCTTGGGGATACACAGGAGACTGCCTAAATGCGAACTGCTCTCTGCGACTCGGCACGGCTTCAAACTGAAAAGCTTTTCAAAACCAGACGTCGAAATGGACAGCTCTACAGAGCTCTGCTGGAGTTCACAGTCAAAGCGGCTCAGGACGCTGCCAAAGGGCACTTTGATGGGGCCGGACGGGCGCGGCATGCGAGCGCCACATGGCACTCTGGCATCTTAGCTGACAGGATTCATGCCGACACCGCCACGTCATGTCTTACCGGGAAAGCAGATCAGTAAGCACAGCCTGTGTGACAAGACCTTTCATAGTGCATTTAATCGCCACTAGGCTGACGACTTCCGAGGTGAAGTCGAACCTTGTGCGTGAGATCGGGCTTCATGGCTTTACTGCATCGGCGCGCAGCATGCAGACCTGACGTGGCATGACATGTCCGGCCATGTCCTGCTAAGGATCTGGCAGAAGCAATCCTCTATGTGGTTTCAAGCTGTGGCTCGGCTCGAACCGTGTTCGACTCTTTGACCGAGGACGCCAAGCGGAGTGAAGCTGCGAAGCTGCGGCGTGTCAGGCTAGTGTCACGGCCAAGCCTGCCATCTGACACGAGACGGCGTGCCAAGCCTTCCAAGCCTGATACGCAAGCGCGCGTGACACAAAGGCATGGCTAGCAATGAAGGGGCAAGCTGGGCCCTGAACCCTGCATCCCCACCCCGCTTGGCTCCGCTTTGATCTCGGCCTTTGACGGTTGGGTCGCTTGGTTCTCTGACTCTGACCGCGCCTTGGTTTCGTATCTGTCTCACATGAACGAGGGTCCGCATGCTTCAGAGCATGTTCGTTTTTGTTACCGTGCGCTTTGGTTTTGTCCGGCAAGACCTGCCTCGGCAAGGCGCTTTCTGTGCTCTTTGGTTCTTTATGAGGCGGAGATAGCTGTCGTACAAGGAATAGAAAGGTCGTTAGGGTCTTTAGGTCTTTCTCTGAGAGCCCTTCAAGGCGGTTACTCGCCAGCCAGCCCCCCCGCCTGTGAGACGGGTTATTCTCGCCGGCTTCGGTGCATTCGCCCTTGCCGATGGTTTTGGCTTCAGGGTTTACGGTTGAGGGTGCAGGGCCCAAGGTCTATGCAGGAATTGGAGTTTAGGCATCAGCGTTCAAGCATTGAGGCTTGGAGCTTGGGGCGCTTTAGGGGTAAGGGATTAGATTAGATGTTAGGGTTCTGGGTTCGGGGTCGGGTTGCGGGCCACTCGTGACACGCCTGACACGCTCGTGTCAGAGCTTCTCAGCTTCTCGCAGCTTAGCTTCGGGCGGGGCACCCTCCAGGCCAAGCTGTCCTTGTGGTGGTGTCGTTGGCTCAATGCAGCATATCACTGCCTGCACCCCACCCCAAGGTGACTGCAGAGACCCAGCTTATCGGCAACGTGCACTTCAATGGCCCTCGCGCCGGGATCAACTTCAACGACGGATTTGGTGGAGGTGATGTAATCGACGGAAATGTGATTGGGAACTGCGTGCGTGAGTCTGGCGATCATGGGCCATACAACAGCTGGGATCGCGTCCCCTACATTACGACTCTTCGAACCGGTCGGCCGTCCATCATACCGAAGCAAAGACACATCACCAGGAATCTGTGGCTCGGCACCTACAGCACACAGGAGGGTGTGGACACAGACGATGGCTCCTCGTACCTTTTGCAAGACTTCAATGTCTTTGCATATGGTATGAACGGACTGAAAAATGATTTTGGAGGCCACGACAATCACCAAATCAACAACATGTACCTTTTCATTAGCAGAGCCTGGTTTGCTGGAACAGGATTGTTACCGGATGGAACGGGCAATAATGATGCCTTCACCAACAATCGATGTCTTCTGAAAGTTGGTGGCAGATATCAGTCGGACTGCGGCCACAACGCGAAGGGCTTCATTACCCATGACAACACCATCTACACCAAGGACCGTATGCGCTTGGCTGCCTAAACCTTAACTTGGTCTCGTGCTTGCGCCTTTGCCTCAGGATGGTGCGACGAAGGTGTGCGGTGGCCACGACCTGAACGAGTATGTGAGGCATTCAGGATTGGACCATGGATCCTCTGTGACGGTCTGGCCTGGCGTTGAAGAGCTCAAGGCGTCAGTAAACGAACTGCTGAATGGGAAGGCCGGAGGGATGGCACGAAACGGGACATGACCGAGAGAACGCTGCTCTCCCCTGACGCAGGCAGAGACTCCATCGACTGTCTTTGTCTGAACGGTCTGAGTGGGTGTTTTGTTTTATGGCCGCCGCTCTCCGCCCATTAGCTTCTTTGAGTGAAGTCTTCACTTGCGTCCCTCATTTGCAATCTCGGCGGTTAGTCGGCTAGCGTTGCCTTGTGTGTCTTCACTCAAAACTTAGGGCTGATCCAAATTTTTGCGCAGCACACAAAGCTTCATGGCCGCCTTTCAGCAGAAGCTGCTTGGATTTCAAAGCTGAGGCGTCCACTCTTGGCGTGAGTTGCTAAAAGTCATCATGCAGTCACGACCTGGGCTTTGGATTGGCGCGTCATGCACAATACAGCGTCCTGTTTTGCAAGGGTTTGCGTATTGGAGGCGTTGATGACAAATCAATGTCGCTGCTAGGCTGGTCGTCTCCATGCATCAAATGGGGAACAGTAAAGGAGGTTTCTTAGTTCGTTTGGATTTTTTGTATTTTGGCTTTTAGTCTTTGTTTGATTGGCTTTCGGCTTCTCTGTTTCAGAGCTTTGGCTTCTCGGAGTTTCGGCTTACGGGCTTTTGCTTCCGGGTCTCGACCTTGGCTTCCTTTCTTTTCAATTCTTGGCCTTGGCTTACGAAGCAATGAGGGGGCGAGATCACCCCCAATTGATTCCCTCCAGCATGTTCAGCCCTCTCGTCGTTTCTCATGTGGCGGGATCTGGGGACCAGACGGATGGGCCTGAGGAGCCTCTTGGAGTGTCCATGCTGGGACTTCCCCCCCCCAAAGCATCGCTCCCCCATGTAGTAGCTTTCCCCCACGTAGTAGCGGGACTTACTGTACGTGACTGTTAACCGAAAATGTGTCCCCTGGGCAAGAAATCCTAGATGAATTCTGGAACCCGTGTCTAACGTTCACTACAAAGCCCGCCTGCCTGTGTGTGCTTCCAGCCTGAGAATAGCCGGAGAGTCTGCGTGGAGCCCCGCTTCGAGAAGACGACTCTTTCCGAAGAAGGGGCACCGAACCGCAGGGGAGAGGTATGGTTTAGCATGATTCTTCCCATTATTTGAAGGAACCTTTGAATCCCTTCTTGACTTCAGCTTCTGGCTCTGGAGCCGCTTCCGCGTCTCTTCCTCCGCGGAGGCTAGAGCGTAGCATGATGTTTGCCAGGTCCGAAGGGCCGGGGCAAGCGGCTTTTCTACTTTTCTCCCACGGGTTTAACATGTCAGTAGTTATCAGTAGCGTGCATGCCCATGACAGGAGAATCGCGACTCCACTGCGAGGCCACACCAGTGCAGGCCCGGGCATTTTGCCTTGAATGCCCTTCCACGGAAAGGGCCACCGGTTTGTTCCTGGGTGCCTTGAAGGGATTTCAAGCTTCTGTGATGCTTTCAGCTCCAAACTGGTGATTCCGGAGCAATTAGCCTTCCCTTCTTCCCCTCCCCCTCCCCACAACTGCGACGCATTTTCTGAAACACCCCACCCCAGCCCAGCCCCACGGAATCTCTCACCCTCTTTCCCTCTCTCCATCCACCCTGCCCTGCCTCATTAGCAGGGATGCTTACAAGTCTCGTTGTCTCATTATCTGCTGTCCGAGAAGCTCGATGCAGTGTTGGTTTGGGTGTCAGACATGCTCAAAGCACAGGGCGCAACAGCATGTAGTGACTTTCGTTGCGAGTAGTATAGCCAGCGGCATGGGGGAAGTGGGGGTGGATGGAATGGAAGGTGCTTCGGAGGATCAGAAACCTGGAGATCAGAGTTCGGAGGGTGAGGACTCTCACGATGAGGAAAACGGCGACATTGCGGCAGACCACGGGCAAGAAGAGTCCTTGCCACCAGAACGCATCGTGCTGGTGGTGATGATTTGTGTCATCCAGGGCTACACACTTGTAGGCCCCTTGCAGCATGCATTCAAGCAGTCTTTGCACATCAGTGATGACAGCCCCAATGGACGCATCTTTACCCAGGCTGCTGCGCTCGTCCAGTGGTTCAAGTGGAGTATGACACTGGCACAGAACTTTTTGTTGCAGTGTCTTTCTGTCAAGGCTCGTGTCTATCTTTCAATGGTATGTATGATGCTGGGTTGCTTGATCCCGCCTGTCTTCATATACTCGCTCGGACACTTGTGGATTGGATGGGCATTTCTCTCCTTCGGCCTCGTCGGAATGTCACTGGGGGTCTTCGAAGTTGCCTACCTCAACGTGATCACCCCACTTGGGCCTCTGACAAAGTCCTGGGCCATCATTGGCTTCCCGGCATCGTTTGCAATTATCAATGTGATAGGATTTACCCTTGTCTCATTCGGCATGCCTGTCGCCGTCCTGTTTTGGTACATTGTTCTGTGCATGCCTGTTGGGCTTATCATCTTTGCGAAGCGGATCGTCCCTAAGCTCCGTGTTGGATCTGTGGATTCGGGACCGGCAGCCAGTGGGCGAGTGCTCAAGAGCAACAAGCAGGCAAAGGTGTGGAATTCTGTCCGGCACTGGTATGCATGGGTGCCAATCTTGTGCCCATACATCCTTGCGCACTTCGTCACGGACTTTGTAATGGAAGGTGCTCTTCCTGCCAACTTCAACACGTTCAATTCTGACAAAGTGCCACTCTTCGGACCAACAGACAACCACCTCATGGACAAACACCGTTTCTTTGTGGTATTCTTCGTCTTCGTTGGACTCAGTGATATGGCGAGCCGTCGCTTTGCGTACTGCTTTGCCCTGGACACCTTACTCAAGAACATCGTTGCCCTGTGCTTTGGTGTGACATGCAGTGTACTCGGCATGTGTCTCACCATCCTTGGGATTGGAGCAGTCAGCTGGGCCTCTGCTGCGCTGACTTTCTTCGGTCAAGGATTCAACTATGCGGTGGCTTCCAAGTCCATCGACAAGTTCATTCCAAGGGAACACAACCTAGCAGCATACTCCCTTTGGATGTTCATCGGGAGTGCCGGTGCAATAGCAGGCAGCACTCTCGTGGATCAGATCAGGTTCTGGATTTGTCGAGGGGAGGTCTATACCCACCAATGTTTGGACCATGTCCACGGACACTACACCGGCACACGAATCTATCGGGCGCTGCAGTTTCTGTTCTTTTGAACCGTTTCAAGATACTTGTGTTCCTTTCAGAAATTTCAGGAACCCATGATATCCATGTACAGATCTAGTTCGGTGTCCATCCCAGCCTTCGCTGGTCGCCCAAGCCTTGGGACGCAAGAGCCTTCAATAGTGGGGCTCGTATGCTGGAAACAACTGATTGAATGACCACTAGGCCAGAGCCCAGTGAGCGGCTCGAAGTGACACCCCAACGCGCAATCTGCAAATCTCCCTGCACTGCACGTGTACTTAGGCAACTTGTGCCGGTGGCCAGGTCCACGGAAAGGGGCGAGCCATCATCAAGACGGCACAACTTCACGCAGTCAAGCTTAAGGTTCAAGTGTAGGCGGCAATCTCAAACTTCCGCTTGGCTTTGCTATTCCCCCAAGCCGCTGCTGAAACATGCAACTTGACTTGCAGCGTAGAAGGGGGGCCTTTGAATCATGCGAGCCGTTGATCGTTTGCCAGGCCTTGCAAAAGCTTCCGGCTTCCCCTATGAGAAGGACAAGTGACCGCAGCGGAAAAGCTCGCCAGCATGCAGTCTTTTTCAGTCGAGATGTATGTAGTTCTGTCCCGAAACCCGCCTAGCTGGTGTAGACGGTCGGTGCTTGTTAGCGTCACGCGGATGTTTGTAGCTGTGCATGTCTGTAGCACTCGTTTTTCCAGAACCTAGAGAGCGCGAGAGAAAAACGGCGCGAGGCCGGTAGTGTCAGATAGCACATGCGCGCATATAGGTCCTAGGTGCATGCGCCTGCGCATGCAGCTTGCAATGAATGGGCGCTGAAACCTTGTGCTTGATTGTGCCTCGGTCCGTCACACGTGCTCTCAATTAGAAAGATGCGGCCAATCCTGTTGTGAGTTTCTAGCACACTCCCATGGTGCCAGACTCAGATTATTCGGGCCACAGTCCAGCCTCGAGCCTTCCTGCACAGCACTCCAGCACCGCTCAGGCCGTGATCACGGAGGTGGGTCGTGTTTCGTTCCAAACAAAGGCCACGCATATACCTGCTTTCATTCGGTTAAAGGTGGAGAGTGACGACGAGCTGCCACCACTCGTTGGGAGTGGCCCAGCACCTGCAACAGCGAGTGCAGAAGCAACGTGGGCAGATCTCGGCGACCATATCCCAGGCTCACAGGCGACGACAGCATCGCACACAGCATCGCCGCCAAAGCAGGACCGCCGGACGAGCTAGACAAGCGCACTATTCACCCGCGGTCTCGTGGCCCGCGGTCCGCCCCACGGACAGCCCCTGCGGCCCTCACGCGGTCTTTAAGGGCTCTGGCACATTTCATCTGACATGGTGTAGCAACCAACATCTCCTTTCAAGGTCTTGGGTTCGGCAACCAATGTGCATAGCAACCAACAGCTTCGTGTAGGGTTTTGGTGTTGTCGACATCTCCGTTCCGGTTCTTGCTTTGCTTGCGGTGAGCAAAGAACACCTCATCATCGCTCAGGGTTGGGGGGGTTCCCAGCCAACATCTCCTTTTCGGGTTTTGTGCATGGCAACCAACAGCTTCGTTTAGGGTTTTGGTGTTGGCAACATCTCCTTTCCGGTTCTTGCTTTGCTTGCGGTGAGCAAGGAACACCTCATCATCGTTCAGGTGTTGGGGTTTCCCAGCCAACATCTCCTTTTGGGATTTTGTGCATAGCAACCAACTAGGGTTTTGGTTGGGTTTTGGTGTTGGCAACATCTCCTTTCCGGTTTTTGCTTTTCTTGCGGTGAGCAATGAACACCTGATCATCGTTCAGGGTTTGGGGGTTTCCAGCCAACATCTCCTTGTGGGTTGTATGCATATCAACCAACAGCTTCGTTTAGGGTTTTGGTGTTGGCAACATCTCCTTTCCGGTTCTTGCTTTGCTTGCGGTGAGCAAGGTACACCTCATCATCGTTCAAGGTTGGCGGTTTCCCAGTCAACATCTCCTTTTGGGGTGTTGTGCATAGCAGCCAACAGCTGCAACATCTCCTTTTC